TCCTCCCATCATGTTACTGCGGTCCAGAGTCATAGAGATATAATATATTTACGATATTTCTCTCCAGGGCTCTGCTGCGGTCAAGCCAGCCTCCACTTCGGAAAACACAGTCAAGCCAGCATCCGCGTTGTTTTGCTGTGAGCGAATATCCTATGCATTACGGTAGCGGCCTGGAAAAACTGCCTTCAAAATAAAAGTGCTTACTCAGTCAATAACAATTATACCAAACATATTAATATATGTACTGTGTATATAGGCCTAATGTGATCAATAATAATGTAAGACAAACTACGTATAACTACCACATTATAACTGAGTGAATGTAAAACTTAAAGAGTTTCAAAATAAAAGACCTCTGAAGTCTCATATATGAGCTATCATCCCTCTGTTTTTAGATGAGAATAAAACAAAAACCCTCCAGTATCAAAGACTTATTTCACTTAAGGGTGATAGCAGGACACCACACCTAGTCTCTCAGAGAAAATCAGGACATTCTGATGTAGACTTTCAAAATAAAAGACCTTTGAAGTCTCATATATGAGCTATCACCCGGAAAAAAATTGAAAAACATATAGTTTAAAATAGAAGAGAAATAAAGGTTAAAGCAAACATATCCATATTCACTGTAAAATAAGAGTATCTACCTCTAAATGCACACTATAGAACAGACAAGAATACATTTGAAATTCTCAAAAGTATGCACTGCATGCACGATGTAAGTACAATAGCAGACGGATCAAACAATGTATGGTGCTGGGAGTTATCTGCTGGCCAGGGATGACGAGTTGTAGAGGGTTATTGCTTTATAAATGTTTTTCTTTATGTAGTTATGTACACATGACAAACCACTTTCGAATCTTTTAATTTTTGAAAAGAATGTGGGTGTGGAGTCCCTCCAGTTCCTAGAATGCACTATTGCACTATCTTCCATGGGCTGAAACTGACATAAAATGAATATTAATGGGTGCCAAGCATAGACTGTTTTTCCTAAGCCACTCTGGCTTATGTCCTATACCATTAGATATATTTTTAGGGGCTATAATATGTTAACTTCCTATTCTTAAATACACTTGCAACAAATATATGTGTTTTTGATACACTACACTTACAGTACAAGANACCAAAGAGCTGTCAAAGGACACCAGAAACAAAATTGTAGACCTGCACCAATTTATTCACACCAAGCTGCTTACCTATTGCAGATTCAGTCTTCCCAGCCTGGTGCAGGTCTACAATTTTGTTTCTGGTGTCCTTTGACAGCTCTTTGGTCTGGGCCATAGTGGAGTTTGGAGCGTGACTGTTTGAGTTTGTGGACAGGTGTCTTTTATACTGATAACGAGTTCAAACAGGTGCCATTAATACAGTTAACAAGTGGAGGACAGAGGAGGCTCTTAAATAAGTTACAGGTCTGTGAGAGCCAGAAATCTTGTTTGTTTGTAGGTGACCAAATACTTATTTTACCGAGGAATTTACCAATTAATTCATTAAAAATCCTACAATGTGATTTCCTGGATTCTTTCCCCCCATTCTGTCTCTCATAGTTGAAGTGTACCTAGGATGAAAATGACAGGCCTCTCTTATCTTTTTAAGTGGGAGAACTTGCACAATTGGTGGCTGACTAAATACTTTTTTGCCCCACTGTATTTGTTGCAAGTGTATTTAAGAATAGGAAGTTAACATATCATATCAGTGCCCCTAAAAATATATCTAATGGTATAGGACATAAGGCGGAGTGGCTTAGGAAAAACAGTCTATACTTGGCACCCATTAATATGCATTTTATGTCAGTTTCAGCTCATGGAAGATAGTGCATTCTAGGACTGGAGGAACTCCACACCCACATTTTTTTCAAAAATTAAAAGATTCAAAAGTGTTTTGTCATGTGTACATAACTACATAAAGAAAAACATTTCTAAAGCAATAACCCTC